GATTTCCTATAATGTGTCTGAAGTTTTCTGGAGAAGTATTAGTTTTTTGTAGAGACCAAAAGAAGGATTAATCCAGGAAATCAGGTGTTGAAAATCCACTTCAAGATTGTGCCATACTCTCTGTGGGAGTAAATGGCACAATTTCACATCTACAACTGACAGTAAATTTGCCCTTCTACTTTAGCAAGACATATGCAGCAGAAAGCCTATTCAAACCCATCCTTTTAAAGATACTGGTCTTGTTAAAACAGGGTTCATTTCCCACATGCCAAGGATAAAAAACAGCACTAGGACTTTAACATGAAGCAAGACTGCATAAGTGATCAAAATGATAAGTGCGACGGTGTTTCACAGAGGGTTTCACAGAGGGATGGGTTATGGCAACTAATTAGACTGTTTGGCAGATGCTGAACCCTATCTGTTCTCACCCAAGCTCCACCCAACAGGAAAGTCTCTTTTACAGTTTTCTTTTGAAATCGTTGTGTGCAGTACCTTTGTAACAGGAGTCCACTGTTCCCTGTCAGGATCCAGCTGCATAATTCCTTCTCCTAGCCAAGTGGTTTGAGTGATGGTCTCCTGCAACAAGAAGGGCCAAGGTTACCCCTGGGAAAAACATCCTGTCTCTTAAAAGCAATCCTCATTAGGAACTGAGAACTGCAGGAGAGGAGTGAAGGGGAGCCCCTGGTCAGTGCTGGCCACAGAGCCTCGGCGGGTACAGGTGTCTCCTGCTGTGCTCTGTGCCACTGCCTGCACCAGGCTTGCCCCAGTAAGCCTGAGCAGAGGCATAGCAGCCAGGGAAGGTCCACCCTTCGCATGACACACAGGGAGGGAAGGCAGATCCTGTCCTGGCTGTTAAAGGAACAGCAAACCTGTCTCCTGTAAACACACCCTGCCACCTGAAGAACATCTCCATGCTATTTAATACTTAGTCTAAGGTTACATACATCACATCTCTAAAAGAAAGAAAAAAAACCCCTAAATATACAAAATGCTCCCTTTTTAAATAAGCTTTTACTTCCCAAGCAGTGTTCGCTTCCTTCCTATAGCTTGCTATCATTTTTAAAATTTCAGTAATGAGCTCCTGAAGCACTGACTTTCTTCACCCCATGCAGAGCCGTTTACAGCCAGTGGTAGGTAAGAAAGCAGTACCACCTCTGCACTACGTGCAGCATAAATAAACAGCTCAGATCCCAGATGCCTTGCTTTGCTCTGCACCCTTCTTACCTGAGATGAAACGCCATCTTGCTCCATTGTGGTCACTGTCACATACACGTCCAGTGTTATCTCTGGCAATGCAATTTCACATCTCCTAACTTTCACAGACGCTGATAGTTAAAATGTCTTATACGCAGGTGAGCAGCTATTTATAAACTGACTCAGAGCCCCACCTCTCCCTGATTTCTTAAACCGAGTTATTCCCCTCCCATTTTCTTACGCTAGGAAGCGGAATCCTGTGGTCGAATAATTAGGAAAAAATACCTTTGCCTGTACAGTAGGTGGAAGTTTGCTATTTGAGTCACTTTGCCCAATACTGGCCAATGGCAGCTTTATAACTAATGGTAAGAGAAGGATGTCATTTTATCTGACTGCTGAACTATCCACTTAGCAAGACCTCAAAGCTTACAGAAATACATACTCTGCAACAAGATGCATCAACTGCACATTAATTGGATTTAGGTTATCTGTGGCAGTAAGCAGATAGGATGAAGCAGCTAATGAAAGAAAAAGAGGGACAACACCATTGCTCTCAGACTAAACCGGTTCTTGCAGCAGTTTAAGGGTTCCTGCACCACATGTCCCTGCAATCCCAGGTCTAGGTGTGCAGAGTAGACACACTCATATGGTGGTTTATATCTACTCAGCCTCCATCCAGCAGGCTTGGATCTCTCCTCAAGTCATTGTATTCTTTGTCCCTTCTTTCCTATGGCTTGTTACTATTATTTTTGTTTAGACGAAGAATCCTGAAGCAATGACTTTCTTTAGTTTAGCTCCACCCCCTGTAAATACTTCTGCTCCGCTTTCCAGCTCAGACTGACTCTGGCTATAATCTAGCTGCATTTAAGTGCCCGTGACTGACCCAATGAACCCTGCCAGCCAGAGGCAAAGCTCAGCACCAACTGCTCACTGCCCTCTGCACCGCGCCTGTCACACCTGTGAAGCCACCACCATGGCAGGACCCCTGCACCTGCCCCTGTGAGCACTGAGCTGGCCCATGCACCATTGAAACCAGCATGGCTCCCAGCCCGCTGCAACACAGCAGCCAAGGACATGTACCCTCATCAGGTCATAACAGGTCAAAATCTTGGAGGGAAGGGAAACCCTTGGCTTCCCTGCTCTCCTCGTATATTGCCTATGACCAAAAAGCTACCCATTCCCTGAATGTTCTTGAGATTACTGGTTAAATGTTGCTACCAGTCAGCACAGTTCCCCTTTGCAAATTCCCATGCAAAATAATACCAAGTCATCACGATCGACTTGGTAGAATAAATTTTTGCCATAGGCTATGTTATTTCACAACACCACGAAGAGTTGTGACTACACACATGACATGTTTCCTCCATGTGCCAGCTGCAACGATGTAGCTTGATGAAATGCATTTTTCATTAGGTCACAGAAAACAACATTGGCATCTTTCAGTCATAGTCAAAGGCAGTGCTTTATTACGACATCTCCTTGGAGCACCCAGCTATAAACCAGACTGTCCACCAGAACTGGGGCTCTGAGACTGTTGCTCCCACAGTGACAGTGGCCAAAAAGCTCTCATTTTCACAAATAACATTTGCAAGCCACATCAGAGACAGCCCTTGAGGGAGAGGGGGACCATGGCTCGCTTTGTACCCCTGCAATCTGCCTCTGAGACATTCCTTTATTCACAAAGCTCACAGCAAGTATTTGGCATGCTCTTTGCAGAGATAACAACAGTTTTGTTTTTCTGAAACAAGGAGCACACTGTGAACCTGGAGCATATAACTGAAATGCCTGAATATGTGGAGCAAGGCAGAATTTTAATTTTGTTAACAAGCCTTTATTGTCCAGTTGTATTGTATACATGAAATATTTGCATGTAAATAACATTTCTTCAGAGCTAGAGGTGGAACAGTTTTATGGCCAAAAACTGTGTTTATTTTTTCACACCAGGGATTTCAGATACACAGACCACATAGCACCATATTTCTGATTATGACGAGTGAAGCTACCATAGAACAAAAAAACCCAGCAGAAAAGTGCATATTTGTTCAAAACCTAAATTTTCAAAACCTAAAGTTTCAAATGTTCATATTTATGTTCTGATCTTTAGGCTTGCAACATCAGGCTACAGTTGCACAAAACAGTGAGGTTTGGTTTGACATCATAAATGACAAAAGTGTTGGCAAAAGTAATTGTGAACCAATTTGTAAAGATAATTTGTCATTGCTTCTTGCCAAAATGAAAATCCTCAGAGTGTCATTTTGCACCAAGCCAAACATGTTATTTGACTGTAAATGAAACCTGTTATTTTCAGGTTGAGTTCCCTGGGCTGACGAGGTAGGCGGTCTATTAAAAAGAAGCTGTGTTTCAAAACAAAGAAGTTTTGTAAAATTAACATGAAATGTTTCAACTTACCCAAGCATTTTCCCTGGTTTATTTTAGCCCCAGATTATGACATTTAGTTGATAGATATTTTTCACTGAATAGACTTTGTTCAAAATTTTCCCAGTTGTCATTAGGACACAAAAAATCATTAATAAAAAAGTATACTTTCAGTTTGACTTGCTCCTGGAATATGAAATTTATTCTGGATTTATAATTTTTACAGCTCACCCTCAGCACTTTCAAAAGTTCAGAAAAGACACTTTCCATAAAAGGGAAAATGAAGAAAGTTTAAAATGCAAACCCACAACAAATATTATTGGTGGTTTTGTGCTAGATGCCATGGAGGGTCTGTTCAGATTGTTTTGAGATGGTCTTAGTTGTTGCAGACTACTAACTCACCCCTGCTTATCTGCATAATTTGTTCAGGCAGAACTAAACAAATAAGCTTTTCTGTTGAAGATCGTATGTCCTAAACTGTTTAAACAAATTGCATTTAGTAAAACAACAGTTTTCATTGTGTAGTGGAAGTAAAATATTCTCATTCCAAGAACTTTTTAATTTAAGTAAGGAAGTTTAATATAAGAAGTAATTCAACTGGGAAAAAAAAAATCCAGGGTGTTTTAGTTTGAAAGCTTCAAAATAAAATGTTAACTTTCTTGCATACTGTCTTAACACAAAACAATCAAAACTGACATAAGTTCACAGGAAATTTTGATGTGTCCAAATTACACATTTCACTTTAAAAATATCTTTACGTGAAAAACCTTATGCCACTTCCTCCTAAGTTGCTCCTTCCCATCTACATATGAATCATTCACACCCCAAGAGAGCCCAGGAGGTGGGGTTGGATGTGTGCACACAGTTGTCCCTCTTACATTTCCAGCCTCTGAAGCTGCTCTTCAGGGCACTTGCAAACCAGAATTGATCCAGGGATGCAATGCCAGCTTCCAGTCGTGTCTCAGATATTCTTCATTTTCCAGGATTGGATGCACCTTGTGTTCCACAAAGAAGAATTGTGGGGAGCAGAAGTTTGTACCCTCTTCTTACGGCCTGTAGGTGTGTTGGCTGGGTTGTAGTACTGTAGCACTGTGGTAGTAAGAAATTATTTTCCTATATGTCATACATTATGATAAGAGGCTTAAAATAGCACTATTTTAAAAATCTAACAAGGATTTTAGGTAAAGAGTGTTTTACGGACAACCTTAATTTAGAGAACCAAGCATATGTAAAAATGTCCCAGGCTATGCCTTTGCCTGTAGAGGCCACTTCTTGGGAATGGAGAAGAAAAAACAACCACAAACCACTGAGCCACCTGGGGTAGTTTCTTTCTGTAGTGCAGAACGGCCAGTGTTCAAAAAGTTATGTCTCTTCTGTGTCCTAGAGTATGAAAAACTCCTCTGAGAAGATAGGGGCAGTTGGAGGGGTGATTAGCACATGTTTTGCCTTCTCCTTTGCATCGCTATCTGCAGTGCCTGCATAATCATCTGTGAGTTGTTCAGAATGTTGTATTCGCTGAGGTTCAGCAGCCGGCGGTAGTTCTCATCGGTATACCTAACCGAGAACATGCAGTAGGGGGAAAAGCGACTGGTCAAATCAAGTTGTCCTCCCTCCATCTCTGAGCAACACCGCTTGACACCTGGAGAGAAAGAGAAGTTGCTGCTGTGACATGGCGTTTATCTCAATCAGTGGCGAGCTGTCCACAGCAGCCCAAAGAGGGAGACTTTTCTCTGGAAGAAAATTCACCGGGTTTAAATGTATGAATAATGCAGATTATGTATCTCCACCTCTAGTCAAGAAAACGTCATGTGCCTGAAGTGATGAGGGCAGACAGAGAAGTGAGGGATTGCGATGTAATGGTCACCTACAGCTTACTCATTAACATCTGTCTCATTAAAGCCATGGATCAGTCAATGGTGTCAGCCTGAAAGGGCACTCCAGTAGCCACTGCCAGCGCACTGCAGGTCTCATCCTGAGCAATCGGGACCTCTACAAACCCCAGCTGAGGGAAGGGAGTTGATAGTAACAAAATAGAATTTAAGTGAGAAAGAAGAAGTGAAATAGATAGTAACATAATAGAATTTAAGTGAGAAGAACGAGAAATAGAAACATACAGAAACTTAAATGTTCCTGTAATCCTGAATGCAGTCTTAGGGGACTTGCCACCAGGTTCCATCTCTGCCCTTCCATTTATTCTGTCTCCCAAATTCCACAAAAGCAGAATTTAGACTTTAGTTCCCTGCTACCAAGGAGCAAAGCAAATCCTACTAACTGACAGTAAAGAAGAGGAATACACAGCAGGTGGCCTGGCAGAAAAAGAATGACAGGCCCCGAGCACAGCAGAGTGAGCAAAATGACCCCTGGGCTGATGCTGTACCAAAAGGAGACACACTGATCTTGACATTGCAGACTTCAGCCTGAAAGTCAGGTTCTTGCTCCCCCACCATTCATACATGACACTATGCCTTCTCAAGTGTAGAATGAAATCCCTGGAATACAGATAATATAGGAAGAGAAGAATAATCTGAGCATGCTGTACTTTTCCCAGGAAAAATCTTTCACTATTAGCTAGCAACACTTTATATTACGATTGGGAGAGAGATGAAAGTAAACACCATCCAGAAGACAAGAGCTGTGTCTGTCCTCTAAGGGTCACAAGGACGACATGTATGAACATAGTTTTGGCAGGGGTGGGGAAAACAAGTTTAATTAGCTAAAGTGCTCCCCTGTGAACCCAGCCATCAAGGATAGCCAGCAGAAGAGAAAAAGGGTCTGTCTGAGTCAGGGAAGCAGGTCTTTTGTTTAATGCTTTGCCACTACTTGTCACTTACCAGGCGCCTTGTACTCTCGGAAGGTATCATTCACAAGGGGAAGAAAAATCACAATCGGACATCCTGGCAAATCTGAATCGTGGAAGAGGTAGCACTCCTTCAGATTTTTCCTATCTTCATCAGTCAGAGAAATTTTAGGGAATGGGATTTTCTGCTCTGAGTAGTATTTGTACGCCTTATCTAGAGTCTGGAGTATCAGAGAAATGGTCAGCATTGGAATTCAACTTCGTTGTCTTAAAGCCCCCAAATCGTTATCTAGCATTAAGGTTTAGTGACTCAGATCCATAGGGTGGGTTCCTTCTTATCAAGGGTTACTCCACACATAATTACCACACATGGTAACCAGAATGCTAATCATAAGCTGTAAACACAATTTTAGAGTTAGAGAATTGATCCAGAAAACTGCTTTTTAAAAAATTGAAGCAATTTGCAGAAGTTTAGGGTAAAGCATGTGGTTTTAGTAAATGAAAGAGCCCGTGTTTAATATATTGTATAGAATTAATTAGGAAATAAAACCATTGCAAGAAAATGTTTAAGGTATATTATTAAGTGCTTGGAAGCCATGAGGTAAGAAAGTTAAGTTTGAATGTGCAATTATGTCTCTGCAAGTGCAGACTTTATGGCACAGTGTTAATTGAGGCTGATATTTTACTGAGGAAGTCCGAAATACTAGGCCGTACTGTAGGTTTCCCCTGAAATGTTTAATAAAATACCATGTCCTACTTTGTACTCTGCACCATCTAATAGTGGACACCATCAAACAGAAAGCAGTTTCTACTAAAGTGCTTAAAATGGCAACAACCTTTCTTCATAAAATTAATCTAGACAATGTATGAGGTTGAAAAGAAACTTCATTACACGTATGTCTCACACATAGTATGGCTTATTAACAGTAGCACAGCTGTTCTCATTCACAAAAAGCAATTCCACTTAAGTGGGTCAGCAAGTTTCTAGCTAACCTCAGTTTCTGAGATGTAAAGAACCAAACCTGTTACGGGCAAGGCCTTATAGACAGCTAACTAACTTTATCTCCATGAAACTGGAGTTTCTGCAGGAAGATGCTTGTCATTGAATTTTCCTAGTAGCATCTTATTTGTTAGATCAGAAATGATCTGCCTCTGACTGTCCACTTAACCCCTTTTATATTCTAACAAGTCAGGAGAAATTGCTTCCTCATCTTTATGCATATTCCTGTGTGGGATCTGGAAACATGTTTGATCCAGCATAAAGCAGAAGAGGCTCTTCCCATCATTCTGGAAGAGACCATGCTGATGTCCTCTTGAATAATTCAACATTTCATAAACCAGCAAGAGAGCTTCCAGGAGCGGCAGGGAGAAATAGCAACAATAGTAACTAGCAGTTTTAGGCACCACAGGCTAGACAAAAGGAGAGACAACACATGGTAACAAGATCATCCTCACCGATGTATGTGATCCAGTAGTATAACTTAAATATATGATGACATCCACTTTCCTCTGCGGCCTTAAAAGTGGTGGACTGCTGGTATTGATGAAAAATCCAGCGTCTATCATGCCCAGGTGATCAGCATTTTGCATCAGCTCATTGGGACGCGAGTCTAACACAGTGTCTAAAAAAAGGAAATTATTTCTTGGAATAAGAAATGATACGTAGGTATTCTGACCGGAAAAAAGAAATGCAAGGTGGAACTGACCATTCCAGAGGCCTGGTTTAATTTAATTGCCACTCTACTGGATTGCAAATAGGCGTGGGAGGGACTGCAAAACACCACCTAAATTCTTGTTCTGAAAAATCATCTATTTTGAGATTGCAGGCAATATATTCCAGTAACTTGTCATACTCATTAGTGACAGTAAACAACTTCTAATACTTAACCTAAATCTGCCTTGCTTCATTTCAGTCCCTGTTTCATCTTTTATCCATCACTGATTTGGAGAACAAGATATTCCCCTGGCGTTTTACATTTGGATTTATGCCCCCGTCCCTCGGTCCCCTCTTCTTTGGACTACAAAGCTCCATTCTTTTCCAGTTTTCTCTCCTATGTCATATTTTCCAGGATATTCCAGTTTCTTCTGAAGTCTTTTGGCTCAGTCTTGACAAATTAAGCTTTCTTCCTTGTTCACTCTGCTCTTTCCTACTTTAAATTCAGTTCTGTTGGCTGCAAGTCTACCTTCTCGGTCTGAATCACAGAGATATCAGCTAAAGCACATAAACACATGTTTATATTTTAAAAAAACGTCTTAAAGACTGAAGTCTTAGTCTCATCTCTCCATTCAGAGAAGAAATGATCTTTCAGGAGATTTTTTTTCCCCTGCCAAGCCTGACAAGGCTTTTTCCTAAATTCCCCACTCCAAAACCACCTGAAAATGATGCTTATTAAATCTTGGTGCCCATTACCTTTCCATCTAGAGAAGTGCTCATTCTCCAGGTAGTTGTTATGCAGCTGGTAGCCCTTCAGGAAATTGTGGTGCTGGGCGACGGAGAAGCGGTCAGTCAGTGCTCCCCGAAGGGCACTGGACAGGGGGCCAGGAGGAGTGTACATTCGAGTCCTCAGCTCGTGGGGTCTTGTAGGCAACACCGGGTCTTCATCTAAAGGAGGGGAGAAAAATTGGTGAACTGTTTGCTAACTGATGTTCATTTCTGGTTGTCCTGGTGTGTAGGAGACCTCAGGGGTTGTTCTGGGATGATTTACTAAACACATAAAAACTATTCTGAAGGGGAGGAGTGGCTGCTGGACAAAGCGCTGCTGATGGTCTTAAGCTTTGGCCTGAAGACAGTTCATCAGAAGCAGTCTTTAGTCCTAGAAAAGGGACACCTTAAGGGAACTAAGCAATTCAGAAAATGTCCTCTCAGAAAGTAAGTTACATACTCTCACAGGTAAATGGCATGAAACAGAGGCAAGGATGGAGTAAATGGGGCTGAAGCATACGCTCCCACTCAGCCAGATGTGCTACAACTGGGCACCACAGGGTCTGTTGCAACCGCGGCAGCTTCTACCTGATAATCATCCATGGCTACATGAACATATGCTTGATCAATAGAATGAGAGCATCCTGGGACAACCTGAGGCATACATTTATATTTAGAAACTACAAGTAGTTTTCAGGGTGGCTACATGGCAGCACATGTGGGTGAAAAGTAGAAACGGCACAAGGTGTGGTTTCCTGAATTCACAACCTGCTTTGCCAGACCAAGTGGTTGATGGTGCAGCAGGAGAGACTCGGTGGTTTCCGTGATTGCACAGATGTATTTCTTTATTTTCAGGATGTCTGTAATTATAGTTACTATCGTATTAAATGATTTAGCAATGAAACCATGGTTTCTATATTGCTTCAGAAAATACCCTCTGGGCATCATTTATCTTTGTGCTGGAATGCATCCAATGCAGTAATTGCTGTACTGAGTAATAAAATAAAACCCCAGGAAATATTGATTAACCAATTGATATTCAGGTTTATTCTCTGCACAGGCAGTAAAAATAATTTTATTCTCTGCCAATGGTTCTTGGTTCTGTATGGCTGAGTGAGAACGGGCAATGCCAAAACACTTCCTGAGAAATGTGTGACCCCTCTAAAACTTCCTCTTAAGGACATAGGCTTTTAATCCACGGGAGTTTAGTAAGTCTAGTAATTACAGCAGCATTTCCCTGATTACCCTCTTCCTCTTAGTCTTTACAGAGGGAAGGAAGTTGATATCTTAGGAGGATTCTATGGCTTCAACGTAGTTGACATGATGCCAAAAGGCATCCAGAAGACTAAGTGACCATAAATGAAAGGCTTAATATTTTCTCACCAACTTCTTCTATTCTGTCTTGTGTCCATCTCTTCCAGAAGTCTTCTGAACTGTGGGACAGTCCCCATATTTGTAATAGGTTCACAGAAAATATACTGCTCCACATACCTGTAAAAGGAGTTAGTGAACACAAGGACACATTCTAACAAGAAACTGCCTTTTTCCTTCTATTTTGACTTCCTTGATTAATTTTTGAATGGGCTTAATTTAATATTTCTAAACTTTTGAACTGTTAAATTCCTCTTAGCTTTCTATGGCACTGGTTCAGGTCATGCTGCTGTCAGTCCTGTGTCTAACCTACTACATGGTTCTAGCATATGGTAAAGGGAGAGAAAAATGGGAGAGCAGTAAATGAGAAAAAAATTCTCACTCGAGAAGCAAAATAAGAGCTCAGATAACACAAACATGACAAAAACATCCTTTCCATCCCTGTCTTTGTTACTCCATCTTCTCTTTTACTGCACAGGTTCTGATCAGCTTTCACGCAGCCTGAATTGTTTCACAGCAGGATGAACGGGCTCTTCAGCCATTTGGTTTGTAAGAGAAGATCTCACATGGCAGCATTCAAAGACTTACAGACACAGTGGGCTTCTGCTCCACTGTGCACTCTTTTCTCCATCCAGGATTGCCCCTCTCTTCCTCCCCACAGTGGCACTGGTGGCTTTGTTGACAAAACACAATGCCACCATTTCATCTGCTGTTGTAAATTTAAAGATGTGTTCTAATTAGTCTGCCACAATTGTACTTCTTAGTTTTCAGTGGGGCATAGAAGCCAGTACAGCATAGACAGTATGTAGAAAATTAATTTCCCCGTAGTGGACCAGGTTAAAAAGGGCCAGCTCAAAAAGCAGTATTTAAAAGATACTCCTAAGGGTTATAAACTATTTAATATCACAACATGTTTACTGAAACCAATGAGCTTCTAAGCAGCATGAGTGTACGAAGCAACCACTGAAACTGAACTTGCACTGCTCTGTGTTCACCCGACAGTGATACTGACTCCTCGGTAAAGGGATATTATTACTTTTACACACAACCCATCAGTACAAATCAGGGACCGACCAGAGTGATTCAGAGACCCTTCACTTCTGGTCTCATTTTTCATCCTGGGCAGCCTGCATCTTTAGTAGATGGGATTCTCTACATGGAGTAGAAGTTAAGCCTCACAGTAGAAGCACAGCTGTTTCAAAATTTTCATAAGTTGGAGTGCATTCAGAGAGGAATTGGAAGAATAATCAAACAAGTGGGAACTGTTCCTTACAATGAAGGAATTAAGGAGATTTATCTAGTCCATGTTAAAAAGTTTGTACGTACCAAGACAGTGACAAGAAAATGAAAAAATATGTAGCATTTTTTTACTGTATTCTTTTTGCCAGACTACCACATACCCCCTTTTCCATGCAGGTGATATCACAGCCGCTTTCAGTATGTTAGCCCAGAAATACCCACCCTTTGATTCACAGTGTTGCACCCCTCCAAAGTGCCTCTCTGCCAAGATAATGCAATAGATCACCTTGAAGGTAGCAGATCCGGGATTCGGGGAGCTTTTTCAACAAGCGTCCCATGAAGAACTCGCTTCCGAAATGCTCCGTGCGAACAAACGCGCCGTACTTCAGGAGTCCCACCTCGTAGGGGGTGAACTCGACCCACTCTGCAATACAGCCACAGTGGGACACGTAAGGGACTGTCGGACGGGTGTGGGGAGCGGGGCAGCTAGGGCATGCATTGCTCGAACTTCTGTTCGCTACGCTGCCTTTCCAAAGCCTTGCCAGACTGCAGGCAGGGCTGGCAGCTGAGCTCTGCCCCTGTGGCCATGGCGGGGCAGAAGCAGTTACGCTGCTGCTCACGGTGGTGCTGCCAGTGGCACACCATGCGCACCGGGAGCACCGCAACGCTCCAGCTCTTACACACACACACACAGGGTTCTCCAGCAGGTACAATGTTTCACTCTGCCCTTGCATACACCACAGCTAGGGGAAAGTATTTCCATTTTTATCAATACAGTTAATTTAGCTTCCCTTGAATTATTTGGTTATGTACAAAGACAGGCACTCAGCTCTTCAGAAATTAGGTTTTTTAAGAGACCAATTATACTCTTATGTGTGGTACTAAGGACGACAGAACTAGTCCTTGGCTTTCTTGGTTATCCTCTCCAAGTGAAGTGCAGTTGTCTGATATAACTGCAGTGTGAGCAAAGGCTGGGACAGAAAGGTCATGGATCATAACTTCCTTTAGTTCAGAAGTGGTTCAATTTGCACCTCAGCCATAAAAAATTTGACCTGAATTTCTTCTCCACCTCTTCTCCTCCTCCAGCTGCTTCTCCTCATGGAAAAAAATAACCAAAACAATGAGTAAAGCAACAGATTCAGTTGAGAGTAGGTTGGATGCTTTCCCAAAGTTTACCATAACTATGTGGTCTTTCTTCATATTGAAACTATAACTGGGCATTGACAAAACCAGTATCTAATTCTCAGACAATTCTGATACTGCTTATTCTAGGTGGATCAGATAGTATTTAAAAAATGTCCTTTCTGGCAGGATTTCGACTGTGTATGTCTAGACAGTGAAATACTGATCTCAAAAAACTCTTCAACTAAAATTTTAAGGCATGGAGGTGATGGTTATTTCTCAAAAAAAGCAACTAATGCACCAGGACTGTTTTCTCCAAGTGGTACCAAGCAGAGAAGAGCAAATCACAGGAATTCAGTTGCGAGTTTTAGTCCCACAGGATCTGAATCGTCATTCTCACCTTTGAAATCATTGGTGCTGTAGCTGTCCCGAACACAGACTGACACATAGATGGGCAGTGGGTTCTGGCCATCACACAGTGCTTCTTGCTGCTCTGAAAGTTTGTGAGGGTCTTTCTGGTTTTGAAGAAAAAGAGTTATGAGAGAGAGAGAGTTATGAGAGAGAAGAGATGGAAGCAACGCATGGTGAATTTGGTGGCCGCAGTGCCGAGGGGCCGGGCAGCTCTGCCCCCAGCACACAGGATGGGCCATGGCAGCTCCGCTGCACAGATCACCCCAGACACCCACCCACTGGTGACAGACCAGTCTGCCAGCATCGGGCCTGACTTTGTGTACAGCTTCACAAAAAGACGAGGAGAGGGAAAACTACTTCTGCATATGTGTCTGTACGTACTAGAAAGTACTGCCCTGGCAAGCAGGAGAAGGGGTAAGCTGCCCTGTAGGATGAGGAGCTGTAGCGAGCAGTCCTTGCTCTCCTGGGGCTGAAAGAAGCCCTTGAGCATGTCAGCACCGAGTCTCCTTTCTTAGCACACAACAGCTATCACAGTCCAACCTTACAAGGGGACTGGAACATGGCAGTAAATTATTTGCATCCCACCCAGCTTCTTTTCTGGAAAAGTATATTCTCATTGAAGAGGTTTGTAAAAAACATAAATTCTCATGAACTGCTGACAAATTTAAGAGCAGCTAGTTCTGGCACATTAGGGAGAGGTTAGTGGTTACATAGCAATAGTCAGCACTGCTCAGAGGGAAATATGCTTAGCTAGATTGTGAGGAGGACCTCATCTAGCTGAGATTAAGAGTCAGCTATTCAGCTTATACATTTGTTTAATATGTAGCATTCCTCTCTGTATTTATTTATTTTCTGTTTACATATATGTATATAATACTATATATGTACTTATATAAAAATAAATAAAACCAAAGGTATGGCTGAATGACTGCAGCATTTCTGCCTCCTCTGGAGGACACTTCCATTCAGTCCTCAACCACTCGTCCCTTCCCACTTCCCAAGTGCCAAACACACATCCTTGAACTGTGGTCTAGCTGGAGAGAAGAGGGAGCAGACTGCTCTACTGTAGGCGTAGAAACCACTTCAAATAATAGAAAAGCAATTTTGTTATTGCTTGTAAAAATTAATATCACTTAAACCAGCTACTGTCTGAGCAGTCCTTTTCAGCAAAAGTAAAATACACACTTGCCTCCAGTGTACCTGCAGATCAAGTTACCTGCCAGCGGATGCAAATCACCAAGCACTCATAGATATTTCATGCCTGCTTCAGATAGTTTTCACACTGTTGAGATTGCCCTGCTTTGCATCTTGAACTCTTTTTGCATGAGTAATGTGCATTTTAGGCAGACTGCCCAAGATTGCCTCCACTTCTATTTAAATATCAGCCAGAGTTCAAATGGCTACATCCGCAACCTAATTTATTAACATATAGGATGCATTTCTCCTTAGGCAGACTATTAAAGGAAATAAAATAATGTGAGCGTATGCTGACATGGAAAACACCACTCTATTTTGAGGTACATTCCCTGAAATAATGGGCTAGTTTCCTCTCTGTTCACTAAGACAAAAATACATGACTCTCTAAGAAATGGAAATACGTTATACCCCATCATTTAGTAAGTACTCAATCATGAGCCCCCAAAGATCTATAAATGATGTCCTGTATCCCTCTTCTTTCCGCTGACAAAGCTGCTTGTCATAGTACTTCATGCGATCCATAGAGAAACAGCCCATCTTGCATTTGGTTGCTTGTTTCTGGGCTTCACCAATATGTGAGTCTAGGTCCTTCTGTGACCAGTAGGCATCTCTGTATAAGTTGGCCATGGTCCTGGAGAAAGATAGTACAGAGAGCAAAAGTCAAAAGGACCAAAAAAAGACTTGAAATTCTGTGCCTTTAGGGAGAGAGGTTTACATTTAGGGATTCACTTCTGCACGTACATATTCTGCTTTTCTGCTCCGTCCAGCAGAATGAACACTCCAGAATTTCTATGACTGTTTTAAATCCCTGAAGGATAAGGTGTTTTTTTATGTCGTTAACCTTTACCCTTTTTTTTTTTTTTTTTTTTTTTTTTTTAGCAGCTTAAGACACAAAATTGCCAAGTGTGAATATGGGTATATTTTTGAAGCACAAATTAGGAAGAAAATTATAATACATTTTCTTTACTTGTTTTCTAGGACTATAAATTACTTCACACCAGCTGCTGTTTCCTGGCTTTGCATCATTTAGTATTAATCTTATGATATCACTATACTGTCTTTTAACACCATCCTCTATTTTACCAACCTTCCCTACATGGAATCATCAGATGTTGGGCAGTCGTAGGTCCTGTGAGCAGGAAATAACGCTGCCCAGGGGAACTCAGTTCTTTCCCAAACTGACACGTTGCAGGGGTGAGTGTGCACTGTTCTGCAGCTTTCTCTGCATGACCAGTTAGAAAGCAGAGCCAGTCTCAGAAGTTATTTGAAACAACAACAACAACTGGGACATCAGTGGAGGCATGATGCTATGGGCATCCACAGTTACATCCATAGTAACTACTTACTTAGAAACCATTTTGACAAGTGTAACTGTCATATACCTATTTAACTGCTGTAAGTATGGATTTGAAAAGCATGGTAAAGAATTGCTAATAAAAATTCAGTGCCTCTGATCAAGCTAATATGTAGTGGCCTGTTACTGAGAAATAGCTTGTTTCTACAATGTTTGAAGAAAATCTCCTGATACTTGTCTGCTTTCAGAAGCTCCTCTCTGCAGCAGCATCACCCTCAAAAGGCCTGGTCAAGCCTCCTGCTTGAGCTGGCTTACCAAGTGGTGCCAGACAGCCCGCTGATGTACGATATACAGTCCAGGAGATTCAATTTCTTGAGCCCCATGAGGCTGCCATACAGTCCTGTCATTGATTTCAGTCCTCCGCCTGTTGTGATGATAGCCACAACGGGGACCTGTTGGGCAGAGGAGGGTGGGACATTCACACTGACGGCATTCAACATCACATCCCCGACTGCAAGGGGGGTCTGGCCACCACACCCAGCCCAGGTCCTGACCTTAGAGACCGGGTCCCTTTTCAGAAGGAACCAAAAGCAAAACCATAAACCAAGCAATGACTGCTACTGCTGCTTCCCTTTGGATAAACTTGGGTTCAGAGATTAACCCAAACCTGGGTTCTTGCCTATCCCCAGGTCAAATATAGGCACAGATGAACAAGCAGAAACCCTTCTGTGGAGGCAACAATGTATTTTCTCTAAATTTCCCACTCCTATGCCACTTCTTATTTCACACATCTACTACTACGGTATGAAAGTCCATATGCCCACCCCACAAAGAAATGCACTCAGTTAACAGTGCTGCTAAGCTACTCTCAGCAGTGCTGTTACTCTTCAGTATCATGAAGTTGCTTTGAAATAAATTATATTTACTTTAAGGAATTTAAAAAACGCAAGAAAAGGAAGATATTATAAGAAGCACTCAGAGATGTTTATCCTAAACTCTCACAAAGGATGACATTTGAACAAGGGAAGAAATCTTTCCTATGTAATGTATTTAATATGCACACAGTACTTCTGAACCAAGCAATTTATAGCATAGGATGGCAGGGTTGAACACACCTCACATCTGACAAGTTCCAAATTGACAGTCATGAAGGATGCGATTACTGCAACTACAGTTTCTTACAGTAACAAATCTTGGCAACAGAAGCAAATGTACTTAAGACACGTGGACAAGCTGGTACCTGCACAACAGATACATGCAGCCCATTTTGCTGACACTCATCTGGAAGAGTATATGAAGGCACTAGAAATTCAAGATCTACCCTCCCCAGCAGACACGTACTTCAAAATCCTGCAGATCCTGTTGTAGGTGAAAAACATTTTTCAGGGCACTTGCTACATATCTTTTTCTTTTCCCCAGGAAAGCCATCTCCTCTGAACATAGTTCAAACCCAAAGCGCATGTCCAGGTCTTGGTGGCACGAACAGTTACTAAGATTAAAAAAAAAAAAGCACATATTTTACATATTAACACACCCATATCAATTTTAGGACTACAATCAAAGATAATCTACAGCGCCTTTCCTTGCAAACAGGGTGATGCAATATGACAGGAGCAAGAGAGAATATTCTAGATTTAAAAGTAAAAAAACTTATTTCAATGAGTAAGCTTAACCAGTGGCATTATACCCCACTATCTGATGAAGAAACAATGTGCAGTATTTACAAATGAAACAGAATATTTAAATTAATATTTAAAATCTAAAATAATTTCCAGCTTAGAAAATCTGTGCAAATAGTCAAAAGTGAGTGCACTGATTCCAATTCCACGGGATATTTTCTCATTCTAAATCTGAAACAAAACCCAATTTTCAGATGTTGGCATGTCCAACCTGAAGGAAAGTTCTCGTTTGAGCAACTGGCGTGGGAGCGCATCCCCCTCTAGCGGTGAGCATGGCTGGGGAGCAAGCCAGCCCCCGCCCGCCGGGCACGAGGGCCGTCACCCTGCTGCCTGGAGGGATGGCCGGGGTGACACCCAGCCCCTGGACGGATGGAGATGGGTCACAGAGTTTCGTGGGGCAGGTTTTCACCCCCACTGCTCTGATCTGTCTGTACTTGCACAAAATGTCTCACAGGTCAACGCTGGCAGTTGTATTTCACATCAACCTCGACTCAAAAATTGTAAAACATAGTATTCCTCAGAGGAAGATTTCATTTGCATCACTTTTGAAGTGTAATAAGTCATTCCTTAAAACACCACTGTTGTAGCTTGTTTCCCTGGGCATTTGTGCTCTTCTGCTCATTAGCCTCCCTCCTGTCTCTTCCTGACCTGCACCTACAAGACATCAATGAGCAAGAGGGCTGACATGGTGTCATCAGGCCAGAGCTACCCATGGGCGCCCTGGCCAGGCTTTGTAAAATGGGAGGGTTTGCTTTTCCTTTCAGTGACAGAACTTCTCCCTTCTACCGAGTCCAGAATTTCAGTGAAACTAGTAATGAAATTTATTTATGAGACGTCTCCACCATCAGACTTGGATGAAATCGGCCAAATGATTACAACTGCATTTGTAAATGAAGATGTCCAAAGGCAATTGAGTTAGGTGGAGCTGAAAAAGCCAGTTTCCACTGTAAATCAAGATACAAACAAATTGTTTATAAAGTTCTCTGAAAGTAAAATAAATAAGCGGGAAGCATTTTTCCTGTCCTGGAAAAATGATGGTTTCACTGTTGTCATTGTTTACTTGCCTTCCTGAAATGAATGATAGAAAACTCTATTTGAATTAAAAATTATTTTTATCTTTTACTTCCGAGTCAGGCACTCACACACAAAAAGGATCAGTTTGCTCAGTTCTGTGTGTCATGTATAGATACGGATAACATAAAATATCTTCATGTTTACTGATGAATATTAATAAGCATGTCTATAGATATCAAATCACTACCCACGTTCTCTACCTTAGTTTCTACTCAATATGCAGTATAACTGGACTTAACAGAATACTGAATATTGACAGTTAAGACAAAAAAATGGTCATAATTTCTAATCAAATTTAGCGTATACTACATTTTAATGTTTACTATCTATTTTTTTAATCAGCTTTGTCATTTTTGTGAATTTCAGAGACTGACATTGATAAAAAATAATATTCTGTGGTCAGAAGGGAAGGGATAATACTAAAATAAATATGTGTTTATTAACATTTATTGATTAAAGCCAAATCTTCCTAAGACTAATCATGTATAATAAACTGTGCATGTATTTTATGTTTTATTAAAAGCAGGTTTGAGTTTTCAGACTGAGAATGCCTGCTTGTGTCATTTTCATATGGCTAAAACAGTATCAAAATCAATAACCCTGGTATTTAGGAATAGAAGAAGATCTCTTACCAGCTCTGTGCTCTCACACTCAAGTCAAACCTTTTCTCCTGGAAAACAGGAATGTGTACGGTCATTTTTTAGTTTTAATTTTAAAATATCTTTTTTTACTTTCTGTGTTGGTATCAGAGCTTGATTTACACCCCAGCAAGGTCTGGAAATTGCAAAGTTAAATGTCTGAGATCTTGGAATATATTTCCAAAAGCATTCACTTATCCTTAGTGGAACATCGCTACCCACAGATCCAAATGCTTCAAGGCTGCTGAAACCATTAACAGTCTTGGTATAGGAGGTTCTTGAGATTTATGCAGTAGGTCCCATTTCCCGTGTTATTCACAAACTTTCTGCAGCATCTTGAAATATCTTTCATACGCTTCCCGTTCTTTATGCTCTAATACACAGCAGATCTTTGACATCCTGGCCCCAGTCTCACAGTGAAGAGACTGCAAGTCTGTGTTTGCTTCTGCCAAGACTTCATCCTGTCTTAAATCATTATTGCAACTTTCATATCAACTGTCAGAAAGTACTCTGTTCTGAAAGGATGTTTTAGTGGCCCTGAAATCTGATACTCTCCTTCTTCACAACATAACAATTAATATTTGGACAAGATTGTCCCTAATAACCGGGACATCTGTAGATTTTATTTTTTATTTAGTAGAAACACAAATTTTATATTAAGGATCTTTCCCTTCTATTAATTTCATTTAAAATTATACAGCACATACATCTATTTCAAGCAATATTCTCACTACATTCTTTAAAATCCCTACACTATATCTAATATTTTCCATGTATTTTCACATAATGTCCTCTGAAGCACATGTTTAACTAAGGGCAGGTTTATTGATTATTTTCCTAGCTTGTGTCGAGGGAGCAGAGTTTGGACCCTAAACAAAGGAGGGGTCAGTGAGCGTTTGGGTAAACGGGGAGAGATGTACTGAAGGAATCATCATATTTTCTGACATCACTGTTGGTCTCTGTATCCACTACTTGCACATAATGGAGGCTAATGGAGGGACAACCTACTTCTGTGGAGAAAACACCTGGAGAAACAAAGCTCTGGTTTGTTCAATGTCTGACAAAAAAATCAGAACATTTCTGACCCTCTTAGCTGCCTTTGGGACAATATTATGAGGAATGGTTTCTAGTTGAGAGGCCTTTAATTCCTAACAGCTGAAAGCGATGCTCACCTCTGCAATAGTCATTTTCTTTCCCATGGGCAGTGAATTCAGCATCACGACCGGGGAGCCCGTCTCTGTAGTGTACTTACAGGTCCACTGAGAAAACAACATGCTTTAGGACAAAAACGGTAATGGCTTTACCCTCTCCCCCTCCTCCCACTTTCTAAAGAGGCACTCATGGTCAGTTCATCATTAAGGCCACTTCTAACATACAGGGTGGTAGCGCCTCTTCTTTGGCAACATGACATCCAGCGTTGGCTCAGCATACTTGATATAGTGGAACTTGGTGGGACCTGATGGGCTGGCCACTCCATCGGGGCCCAACATGATATCCTGCGTCCCCTCAAAAGAGCCCTTCACCGTGAGGGAAAGCTCTTTCTCTGAAAAAGCAGAACAAAGGTCATGAGAAATGTCACTATAATTTAAGCAGAAAATTACAGAGTTTGGACTAATGGAAAGGGCTCTGAAGGGAGTGCTGGTAGCAAAGGGAAAGGAGCAAAGCAGATCCTATTTTCATAGAAAGGGGACTCTGACTGTTCTCACTGTTATATAGAACTAGGATTTCAACTTTAATGCAGATCTAATAGACCTTATTTACATATACCTAAGGGAGTATGAAACGCAGTCGTTGAATTCTGTAACATACTAATGTGTTTACCTGGTGTTAACTGCACTGAATACCGTAAATACTATTTATTCCACTAATATATTATACGAAAAGGGCATCGTCTTATCAGTAAGCATGCAATTATTGGTAAATAAATAATAAAGCAATAACATCACTTGATTTTTGTTGCATCTTCTCTGTCACTTCAACTTCCAAGCAGCAAAGTTCACGACACTGTGAAAGACAGTGAACAGAAATCTATGAGAAAGGTTGTCACATACCAACCTCCTTACTGGGAACTGTGAATCACTCAGCTTTTGGACATGTCCAGCCACCTGAAGTACCTAATTCCCTGGCATTTCTGGACTTTTGCCCAGTAGCCACTGACTAAGGAAAAGGAAAACCTTTGGAGTGAGTTGTAGAGCATCCTGCAGTGAGAATGTCATACAACTGGGCATAGTAAGAGGAAGATACAACGGAAGAAAAACGGGAGCATTTTCAGGATAGTAGTATAGATACAAAGGGTTAAACTAGGAAAAAACAAATGGAAGATACAATGCTGAGAGATCAAATGTCGGTAGTAGAAAGGGTTTCCTGAAGAAACATTGCTGTTAACACTTTGGGTTAGGGGTTTTTTTATGTCACTCGCTCTTCTTTCACATAATGTAATTACAGTAGGTCAAAACTTAGTGCTAAGCTTACCCACCAGGCATGGCTCATCTCCCAGGGGAGGAAAGGGCTGGGTAGGCTATCAGCAACTGCATTCACAGCCTTTCTACCGTTGTACTTTGATGGATAGCAGTACATTTTTTGAAGGAGTACTAGTACCAGAGAAAATCAAAAATGTGTGTGTGCATGTAAAAATATGGTTCAAAGGGGAAATAATAGGATATCACCAATGAACAGGGCAATAAAATATTCCATTTTCAAAGTATCTAAATAGGAAAGAGGAAAGAAAGAGAAAGAACTGGCCTACTGGCTTCTCTAACCCCCATCCTCCCTTCACTTTTATATTAAGGAAACACTTATAGAAAATTTCTTAGGAAAAAGATACATACCACCAGGACTCCATTGGTAGCAATGGCTTCATGAGGACCAGAACTGGGAAGCAAAATGAAAAATATGGATTTTTTTTTTTTATATATTAAAGAAATACCCAGTCATCCTTGCCCAGGGTGTTGCCCTTTCTCCCCATGTAGAAGAATGATGGCCAGAGGGACCCCAGCAGGTATGTAACAACCTCCCGTCCATGCTTGCTTGGGCTGAATACTGCTCTGAGGGGACTTGCCTCTGTACCAAGGCTGAGTGATGTTTATCATGGCTACTTTTTTGCATTGCAATCTCATGATCATCTGAAACGGAATCTGTGGTTAGGCAGTCAAATTCTTCTCCTCACTAGAACATGTAAAGTACATGTATTTCAGCAGTAATGTGCTAATATCATTGCATACACCCTTTAGGAAGCCCAGTTCTATTTATTTACTGGTATTCAAATAAAAATAATGAGGCAGAGGGTACCAACTACATAGGGAAAATAAAGCTTTCAAGATCTTTCAGGTAAAGTCAGAAGATGGTGCGGAGTGACTTGAATTCTGGTCTTGGATCCCCACTAGTAGAAGGGCTAACCTTAGTCTCGTCACATAATTTCTGCTGTGTCTTAGTTACCTTGTGGCAACACAGAGACAAAAATACTGCTTCATACAGATGGTAGGATAACCATGCTGGAGGAACAACCCTGCACTAGAGCTTCCAACACGTTCTCATCGTGTTGGGTAGAAAGAAAACAGAATTACTAGGACCAAAACAGTGCTGCAAGGTAAAATCAAAGGAGTCAGAGATACACTGGAAACCTAGCCAGGATGGTTCAACATTAGGAGTCTGTCCAATGCATAAGGTGAAACATGCATGGAGAGATTGATGGACATGCGTGCACACACAAACGCATGCACACACACTCAGAAAGTCTTCTGAAATGTCCTTAGGTAGACAAATCTGACAGGGTGAATAGAAGAGACAGTGCTGGGAGGTGCATCTTTGCAAGCAACTAAATTACAGAGCAAGCTGACTGAAGGGATCAGCTGTGTGTCTGAGACTGCAGTAACGGTGCAGAAGTCTGGCACTTTTTTGTAGAAATCCCACAAAGCGTGACTTCTAATGCTATTTCTTTGGCTTAACATTTAGTGATTTTTGCATTTTTAAAATAATCTGTATATCACTTACGCAATCTCCAATTTGAATTCAACCTCTAGCTCCTCCTTGGCCTGAAAGGAAGAACAAGAAATTAAATAAGTCGCTACATAATGCTTTCTCCCTTGTCTAAGCCCAGGTCCCTGGTATGCAGTTTTGAAGTAACTGACTGCAGTGCACAGCCTGTGATAAGTATTTCAAACTGGAAGGTCTGAAATAACATTTCAAACCAGACAGTTTAATGATTCCTACCTCACCTCCTTCCTTCTTCAAGGTATCAACAAAATAACCTGTACTTTCATCTCTTAGTGCGAAGCTGCTGCAATTTGCAACATGCTTTGACTTCCAAATTCTACCTTTTTCTCTTAACTATTCCTGTCACTGTCCTGCCATGACTCACTCTCCTTGTTATTAGCTTGGAAGTTAAAGATACTTTCCACCCATCACATTAATATAATAAACAGACAGGTATTATTGAGTGATTCAAAGTTACAGTTATGTAACCTCCTGTAAGGCAGCCTTGATATGTATAAGCTAGTTGTGGGTGACCTAGTTTGGGTACCAGAAGCAACCTGCCCAAAAGAGCAAGACTTGCATGCGAGATATTTCACTGTTCTCATCCATAGATCTCAAAGGGAATCAAGACTCTTTATTTCCATTTTATAGACAAGAAACTGAGAAACAGAGTAAACAAGTCATTCAGAGCTTCAAACCCGCACTAATTCCGATAGACAAGTCAGCAGGTTTGGTCCTAGCTGAGGTATCACTGCAGGGGACAGTGCTGGGGTACGCACAGAGGCAACTTCAGTTTTGCCTTTGGAGTGAAAGCAGATGCAATCAAAGGGGCAGAGGTTAGTGACTACTGGTAACATGGGGAAAAAAATTTACAGATTATTCACCCTGCAACAGCTATAAAGCCTTGGTGTTGCTCAGAGATAGCTCACAGTCAGATCCCTCCCCCTCCTACCACACTGTTTCAGTCATACGCTTTTAGTAATTTAGGAAAATACTGCAAAGAGGGGATCAGGCTCTCAAATTCAGATTTTTTTTTTTTTACCACATATTTTGTGTTTATATTTTGAATGGTAATTCATGTACCAATTTGGGGGTTAAGTCATCCACAGCAGATTCAGAAATCTCACCCCAAGGTTTTGAAAGTGTGTAACTCTCCACTGGTTTCTTAGTTGCTTTATCTTTTGCTCTCACCTCTGGGTTGGGCTTAAAATACAGGACCACTGTTCTTTCAATTGGAAGTTTAGCGGTATCAAAGAGTGCGCAGAGGAGATGGTCGTCTGGAGTAGCAAAATCCTCATCATACACTGTTAGCTCCAGCACATTCTAGAAAAAGGGGAAGAAGAGTTTTTTACAGTTTCCACAGTCTGGACAACATTAGCTCTAGGGAAGAAGGAGTGTTGGGGATGTGCTCAAGAAGAAAAGTGGTAAAATTAAGTATCATCCCCCTTTAGAAAAACATACTGCAAATCAAATATTCATTCTTCCCTAGTTCAGTATAATTGCTGTAACATAAGTAATACATTGGCTATACCTACACAGCAGCTTAGTTAATCACAGATTCTGTATCCATCTTGCACTGATTCACATGAGTCTCTAGTTTCCCTAAAGCTTCAATATTGAGCTCGGTTTCTGGCCCTCCTAAACAGCACCATCGAACAGGCATGAGAACTCAGTCATCTACTCCGTTAAACAATTTGAACAGTCCCTTGTCATGTGCCATCTCTTAAACAATTTCTGGGCACAGTTCAGGAGATAGGTCAGACCCACCATGCACAAAATCTGCTTCAAGCAGACAACTTTGGCTTCTTACCTTGACCTGACTCTGGATCCTGAAGTAGAAGGTTTCGTTCCACACTGGATTGTTGGAATTTCTCACAGTTTTAGTGCGGGACCTTTCACATGTCGCAGTTGGCAGCCACAATGACACGTAGCAATCAGCCTGGCTGACTGGGTAGGGAAAGAGGCAAAACACTTGTTAATGTGGCAAAGTCGGTGGTACTGCATGACTCTGGAAAGGTTACTGCATGGTACCAGCAGCAAATATGAGTTATATAAAGGCAGAAATGCCTGATGTAACGTAACTCTTTTCAAGATACCATTCTGAGAGGGAAAAAGCACAGACCATAAGGTGACCTAGAACAGGAGGTGTTTTCTATTCTTCCTTGTGTGAGTTACAGACAACAGCAATGTTGTGTATACAAGAAGGTGGTGAGAATTCCTCTTCTGGTCAGCCACTTTCTCCAGTTTCTCAACCAACAAGCTTTCCTATGCTCATGTGTGCATGCACACACACACTAACCCTCAGCTGCTGTCTGATGAGAGGGGCCTGGGAGCCTCCTCCACCTTTTGAGAACAATTGCAGAAGGTCTCCATCTCTGCCTTGCCTTCAGTAATCTTCTCGGTAAGGGTTTGTGAAAGCAGCTGCAGAACTACCCTTGTTGTAGGAAATGGCAGAGGCTTCTTCCAGAAGGAGGTCATTAAATTAGACATCGGATCAACTGCCACCTTCAGAAATGCACCTTAGTGAAGGATATTCCATCCCATTTCTCAAAGGCGCCTAAATTACAATATATCTCAAATGGCTACAGCCAAAAATGTAGCATACAGCGTGCCAGCAGAATGCAATGTTTCTTCCTGCAGGTTACACAAAATACTTCAGTAACTTGAACCTCTCTCTTACACAGTTCTTAACAATAAAATGATCAGGTATCATTTAATGCAAAAGGGAACTGAGAAGGGATGTCCTTTGACATGAGACTTCTGAGAGAGACAAGCAATAGCAGCAGTAAATGGAGAGGACCCTTCAGCAGCAGGTAAGGACTCTGCAGGTAGATCAGGGAAACAAGAGCTTGCACACCAATCTGTGGGGAAAGGCAAAAACTTGCCTGGCTGCAACGGGAGCTTTTTCTTGTCTTGTCCTTTTCTTTCCTTCTCCAGCAGGTTTTGCCAGGTGTCACCCTACAGCCATTGGCTCTGTATCAAACTGGGTGGAGGCTGCATTTTACGTTGCTGAAAGTGTATTTGTTCAAAAAAAGATTGTTGCTTTTCTGTCCAAGTCAGAATGAAGAACTGAAATTCAGAACTGCTTGAGAAATTACATAGTACATTGTCATATGTCAACCTACGCCTTAATTATTGGGTTTATATTTTTTTAATGTTATAATGCAGAAATGGAAAACCACTTTTAATTAAATCAATTTTTCCTAAAATCTGTGGAGAGATCAACACATTTCTGCAGAATAAAAAACCCAATATTCCTCTTATGGAAAAATTTGTTTGGAAAATATACAGCAGGCCATAGCCCTCTCCTTCTCCTGCTCTATTCCACCTTCTATATCTTACTTTGGATTGGAAAAAAAAAAAAAGGGTTCTGTCAGCAGTTTAACTGTCCTTGTCTAGAGTCATATCTTCCTCTTTCATTCAATTCTACCTTTGCACAACTCTTGTCTCTTAGTCTCCTTCCTCGTACTTTTCTCCTATTAGTTGAGAGGGCATTACACCTCCTGCATTCAGGTTTCCTCCTTCCCTTTCCTCAAGGAACAAAATCCAAAAGGAAGGGAAAAGGGTTGCCATGGGCTGCCTCCTTCTCAAGCCCACAGATGGAAACAGCAGAAATTACCCCAGTAGCATCTGTTTCCCTCACACAGATGGCACAATGGGCTTTGCAGACTGATGACTGAGAATCATGATTCCCAGGGATGTCTTTTCACATCAGACATTTTGGTTGAATACTACATCCTTTTATCTCTTGCTCTCCTTTCACCCATGCCCACTTTCTGTTAAGGTCTGGGAGACATGCCCAGGTCTTTACAATTCCCATGGATACAGATAAACAATAGGCAGCATCAAAAGCCCCAAAATTTAAGAAGAATATGAACACCCTTGAATGTGTCCAGAGGAGGGCAACAGAGCTGGTGAAAGGGCTGGAAGGAATGTCCTCATAAGTAATGGCTAAGGACATTGGGCTTGTCTAGCTGGGAGAAAAGGAGTCTGAGGGGCAACGTCACGGCTCTCTACAGCCTCCTGAGGAGGGGAAGTGGAGAGGGAGGTGCTGAGCTCTTCTCCCTGGGGTCCAGCGATAGGACACATGGGAGTGGCTCTAAGTTGCACCAGAGGAGATTTAGACTGGACATGAGGAAGCATTTCTTTACCAAAAGGATGGCCAAACACTGGAACAGGCTTCCTAGAGAAGTGTTCGATGCCTCAAGCCTGTCAGCGTTTAAGAGGCGTTTGGACAGTGCCCTTAATACCGTGCTTTAACTTGGTCAGCCCTGAAGTGGTCAGGCAGTTGGACTAGATGATTGTTGTAAGTCTCTTCCAACTGAAGTTGTCCTGTAGTCCTATTCTATTCTATTCTATTCTATTCTATTCTATTCTATTCTATTCTATTCTATTCTATTCTATTCTATTCTATTCTATTCTATTCTATTCTATTCTATTCTATTCTATTCTATTATTTCTATTTCTATTTCTATTTCTATTTCTATTTCTATTTCTATTTCTATTTCTATTTCTATTCCATTCCATTCCATTCCACTCCATTCCTAATCAATGCAGAAACCCTGCCATACACAGAGTACACAGATGATGCATGTTGCAGCAGGCTGCCAGAAGACATTGAAAACATTGGTTGGTCATACCAAATGTCTCTCCAGTAAGGGTAGGTCTAGTCATCCTGGCCAGTCTGGCTGTCTTACACAGTGCCTTGCTTCGGCACATCAGTATCTCTCTGAAGGAGGAAAAAAAATGTCTCATCTGGAACTTTTCCATGCAAAGGAAGTTGCTTGTCTTTATTTCATTTATAGACAGAATTGATTTAAGAACAAGATTTAAGGCTGCCCTTCTTCTGTCTTAAGACACCACTTTTAACTGCCTATTATGTTTCAAATTGCAGCATTCAGTCTATGCATTTACGGGAAGCATGTCTGTCTTGGACTGGGTATTTTGGGAAAGTCTCATCTGGGAAGAGTTTAGCTTTTTTCTAAAGATGAGACAGAAGAAAAAACATTAGGCTTTTTCACATTAAAAAAAGAAAATCATTTCACTGCCAAGTTATAGTTCTTCTACACCTTCCTCCAGTGTAGAAATAACAAGATAATTCTAGAGCAGTACTGCACCTGATCCAGCATCCATCATGCCAGACAAATGATCTCCCAAACCACAGTTTGCATTGGGAATTCCGTGGTTAATAACCCTTGCTAGACCTATATGCTCAATGAATATTTTTTTTTTAACAGATGTATTTTACCCTCCATGCATGCCTGTGACAATAAGTTCCACAATTTATTTGTATATTCCTTTTATTTGTTTTAATTCTCCTGTTTTGTCATTTTACTGGGTGCTTCTTTATTCTTACATTGTGAAAAATGGTGAGAAATAACTCCTTATTTGTCTTCTTCCTCCTATTCCTTTTTGTAGAAACAGATTCCATGTCCTCCTCAATAATTTCTGTTTCATTCTTAAGGCCAGCCTATTTAGTCCCTCCAAATGTAAAAGTTCTTTCAGATCTGTCATCACAGTTGGTGCCTTTCTACAGCTTCTTTTGTTACTCCATTTCTTCAAATGTCAGAGGTTTTTGCAGTGGAGTTCCCAAGTATATCCCCCCTCAGAGAACTGTATGAGCATTAATTTGATTCTGTATGACTGGGTTTTTTTGTTTGTTGGTTTGGTTTGTTGTTTTTTTTTTTTTTAATCTTGGAAATTCTATGCAGATAATAATGATTTGAATAATCTTGAAACTGCAAAAATAGGTATTTGGATATGTTTGGAGATCCTAGAAGTAATTATATTGATTTTAAAATGTTTTAAAAGTAATTCTGTATGACTACTGCATGACTTCAGGTTTATCATTGGAGATCAATGACTGTTGGCTGGCTGACAAAGTACTCTGTTCTACTGATGTGATTCATCATTCTTGTATCTTAACTGTACTTTGAGATACACAGTGTATCAAACAATCCTTAATTATATGAGTACATGCAGGCAAACTAGTCAGCTGTGTATTTAATGCAAAATATTGCTTCAGTTCTGTTTGCACAATCTCTTTCTACAACCTGGTTATTTGTGATTTTGCCTTGTTGCCTGACATGCAGAAGATCTGAGATGAGTCCTTGATGAAACCTTTCTGTGTTATTGCATCATCGCACATGTGCCACAGCCATGGACCAGGAGGGGTGTGCAGGTGCAGAGGGTGCGACCCAATGATATGACCTAAGATACGGCTAGCGTATCGCTGACTCGCAGCTGTGACACAGGGAATCCTCTGGTATACCTTCCAGAAAAACATGTGACAACCACAGGGTAAGATGGGAATGGTACTGCATGATAAATCCAGATCTTCGCTTTTTAGAACATCTTCCCTCGCTCTTCCTGTGCAAGAGACTATAGTGCCAATTGCTGCCGCTCACAGTGAAACAGAAGAATCAAGAGGGATAGCAGGGTTACACCATTTCCCTTCCACACTCACCCTAGAGCTAGTTTCAGCATCCTGTCACAGGTGGTCATGTAGCTGCATTGATTCAAACAAAACACTGTTAACTTGCCTATTTTGTGTGAAAAGCCTCTCCTCAATGCATGCGTGGGTAGTACACGTCCTTTAACTAAACAGTGGTATTTTCCTTTCCTGCTCACTCACTTCCCACCACTTTCCTGCCATGTGACTCACACACTTGCACAAGTCTGCTACAGAAACCTTAAAAGGGACAAGGCATCCAACTCTCAGTCAGCAGGTTTTTTTCAGGGTAATTAATAATGGCATTAGCCTGGTGGTAATGATTTTGGAAAGTTTTTTTCTCGTTCATTTCATCTGTGTCAGAATCAAGACTGGGAGGGATGAAAAAGTTTGCTCCTCCCAGCCACAGTTCCCAAGGTGCTACAGCCAACCAGCAAAACTACCCCTTGCTTTTGAAAACATGGGATGTGATCTTTTTCACCTGTGTCAGAAACTCTCTCTCAGAGAAAGTACTTATCCTCAAAAAAACATTCAAGTCTTAAAATGAACCAGAATGTATTGGAATTACATTCAATAAAACAGCAGCAAGCAGCAAGAACTGACCTGGTTTATAACAATTAGTTTACACAAACACTGGGTTATTTCAGAAACACTCGGAAAAGGTTGCTATATAATTATTAAAAAAAAAAAAAAAAAAAA